GATGTTCAGGCCCGGAGGTGAATGACCTAGGTAGAAACGTCACTAATAATTTCTGCTGTCTTCATAATGTCTTTCTCTTGCAAGAGACTAGGAGAAAGATTTTTTTTTTTTTTAATAATGAATCTTTTTACTGTTTTTAAAAAATTAAACATGGCTTTGTGTTCCTAGAGGAGTTTCCTTTCATTGGATCAGGTGACCTTTGTACTCTTGTCACAACCCAACAGGGACCTAGTTTTGAAGTGAACAATGGCGAAGAACTGAAAGATAACGCCTCCTGTCTCCTCTGTTTCCCAGCAGGCACGGGAAGGGATGAGGAAGTTGGCCAGGCCTGGGGGCGGGGGTCCAGTCTTGGGCAGGGGTCAGCTGGGTGTGTGTTCCGGCGATGAGACAGGATGTTCGAGGGTGGCCTCCACCCATGCGGCCAAAACCCAACAGGCCGGGCAGGGCAAGGCCTTCCTACAGAACTTGGAATGGGCCGGGACCGGCTACAAAGAAAGACCAGAGTGTGTGCATCCTTCTCAGATCATTAATTGGCTTGGATATCGGAGTCATTCACGCCCTGTCTACACGAGACCAAAAAGTCCTCTGTGTCCGACTTGGGTATTTTATTCAGGCTCTGTTACCTAATGCTTAGCCCAGGGGTCAGAGTTCTGTGGAGTCACCACTCCCATCTTTGAAGATAGCAGACGATGATTCATTGCCTGTCCCCAAGACATCATTAGGTTTGGGGTGCAGTTTGCTGGGCGGTCCAGACCAACACCATCTCAACTCCCTACACCAAGTAAAAATGTCACCTCTACAGAGCTTAAGTTGTCCCGTAGTCGGGACATGGCTTGTGTTTTATAAGTCAGACACTGTTGGGTGGCCATGGCGAGACATCCTGTAAGGGGTTGAGTAGATAATCTTCACAGGGAGGTCAGGAGCCCGGGCCTTAGCCTCCTGGTGACTCTGAGTCACACAGGAACGATGAGGTAGGAGCCAAGGGCTGCAAGGCCACGCACGACACAGGCCTGGCTGGTGAGGACGAAGGCCTACTGTCTGCATCCCTAGCTTCCCCGAGCAGCCATTGCCGAGGAGCTCCCCGCGGGCCTGAAGAGGGACCAACCAGGCGCCGGCGGGCAGCGCCCCTTGCATCCATCCCCATCCTCAGCACGACGACTGCCAGCCATCGAGCCTGCGACACTCGCCCTCTGCCAGGCGGCCGGCAGCTTCACCTCCGTCATCGAGGGATGGCCCGTGGGTGCAGTTCCTGTTGGTCCTTGTTTCCAGCTCTGAGAAACTGTGGGTAAATGCTTACGTCTTAGTGACCAAATGGATCCTTGATTCTGAAGTCAGAGCAACACGATGATCCTTTGCCGAGTCTCCGGTTGGGTTTCGAGTGACCAAGAGCGTGTCCCGCACGCCCACCGGGCAGAGGGATGCTGCCCCGCGGCAGGGGGACCGAGGGCCGTCCGTGACAGGGTGTCCACCGTCTGACCCCACACGACACCTAGGACTTGGCGTTTGTTTTGTCTTTCTAAACCTCGATCATGGAGCCGAGTGAAGTGCACTTTGTCAAATGTAAGGGTCTGCTTTGTTATTTTTAGCCTTCTGTTCCACTTTTTTTTTTTTTTTTAATCGTGTTTCTTGTCAAATGCAGAAATGTTCCTTCCGCCACTCACTGAGGTTTTGAATTCTGGCTTCTGCAGTTTTTATTGTCTGTGTCAGACGTACAGCCAGATGTGGTCCTCTGTCTGCATTTTCTAGATTCTGTTCCATCCACATCGACCCCCGTTTGGTTCTCCACCCCCACTCACCCTCACGCTCTCTGAGAAAAAGAATCACCTTGTGTGTCGTAGCTCATTTGTTTCAAGAGAAAATCAACAGATCATACTCAGTGTCTTGAATAAATCGCTCTATTTTGATACTAGAGAACTTGGTGGGTGTGCTTTCTTGCTCTCGCCGGGTTAACTCTTGGGCCCACGGTGCCGTGGATGGATGAAGACCCCCGCTGTGCGTTTTCTCACAACTCGAGTGCCTCTTCCCCGGACCGCTCTGCCGACACAGGGCCGGCTGATGCGTGGGGAACACCAGCCCCTGCTTACTGCTGAAGGTTCCATAACGGGGGCCCGTTTCCACACATTCCTTCGTCATTACATTGTTCCAGGCTGGCGATTGTAAAAAGGGAGTCGGAGTTCGGGGACGAGCTTTGAGCCACTGTAGGAGCCCACAGTCACAGGCATATGGCAGACGCGGCAATGCAGACGGACGGTCCACAAACACTGACCGACCTCTGCTCTGTGCCACACGCCAAGGTGTCACTTTAGTCAGCTGCTGGGCATTACGGGATGCCTGGGGAGCGCTGTGCCCAGCACTAGGGAGGAAGCCCGTGAGCAGAGGCAGAGTGCTGTGCAGGTACTTTTTCACCGTGCGAGTCACCAGGAAGGTCACGGTGTCCTTCCCGCCAGTTCCAACTTGCTGCTGCACTCGAACGAAGCAGAGGACTCGGGTCCCAGTGCTGTCGGGAGGGTGAGGCACCGTAAAGCCACAGGAAGGTCCTGGGGGAGAACCTAGTAGCAAGCACGGCCGTGGGGAGAACACAGCGGGTCCCCGGGATAGAGGCATATGGGACCGTGTGGCTTTGCTGGGAACACACCGCTTTAAACGGGGTTCCTCATACGAGGGAGGAAGCTGGACTTCATTTTATTTTGGGGCATCTGCAGCTTGCAGTCACTCAACAGAACTCCACCTGTCCGCATCGTGGTGCGGTTCCTGGGGATGCTGGCGGATGTTCTTCGTGCCTGCGGGAAGGTTTCCGGGCGCCTGCGTGTGCGGGCTGTGCTTACCCCCACGGAGGCCCGGGCGCCGCCTGGACGTGCGTGAGAGGGGGCAGGAGGACGTGTGAAGCAGCGCCGTGTACCCCTCACAGAGCCCTCAGAATGCGGCCCGTACTTTCTTTCCTCCCCCCGCCGCCCCCCAGTCTTACTCCTTTTCCTCTGAAGGGTCTCCCCCACGACAAGGTGAGGCCCGCGAGGGGGTGCAGGGCGCGGGGAGGGGGGGGGTGCCGGACACTGCTCTGCACGGAGCTGCCTTCCGCCGACCTTAGGTGCTCTGGAGAAGGGGGGCTCGGGCCAGAACCGATAGTTTTCGTCAAGCCAAAGCGACTGGGGGAAACCACAGGAAACAAACAGCCGGCTGCCCTAACATTCTCCCCAGACGGCGCGCGGTGCGTGCACGTGGGCGCGCTCCTGGAAGAGCGGACACGAGCACAGTCCTCAAGGGGTGATAAACCGACGGGCTCCTCGACTGGCCGACAAACTAAAATCCCACGGAAGCCACCCGGTAGGCACCGCCTCATCTTTCCACCCACACTATCGTCCCAGCTACGACAGCCTGCGTGTGTGCGCCCAGCCCAGACTCCTGGGTCCCCGGTGCCGCGCCTTCACGAAAACCTCTCTCCCGTCAAGACTGCTTTCTCTCCACCGGATCGTTGCCCTTCGCACCCCCGGGTTTTCTAGCACAGTGACGAGGCCCCCCTGCAGCAACCAGCCTGACCGGGAAATTGCTTCAAACCAGGCGGCCCGCCGTTCTCTCGCTTACTCGTCTGGGCACCCCTCTCTCCCCACTAGGGTGACTTGATACGCTACCCACTCGCGTGTTCCCAGGGCATCCACGGGCTCGCCCGGTGCCTGCCAAGGAGGCGTGAGGAGGGATTCATGCACCTTCCGCCCCCCTGTCCCCCCTCCCCCGCCCCAGGGGACATGAACACCCCATCTAGGACTTGTAACTGGATCATCACATCGGACGGGGTTCTTATTTGCAAGCTTCTGAACCTGACTCGGGCCGGTGTAAGCCAAGAAGAATGAATGAGGGTACTGGGCCCTCCGAGGAATCTCCGGAGGAGCAGACCTGGAGGCCACACAGACGAGAACAGCCAGAATCAGGGTCGGGATCGGTCGCGTGCAGGGAACGCGCGCACACACGCAGCACCAGGCGCTGCCCACACCGTGACACTGGACGCCAGACTGTGGCCCCTGAAACCACTCGAGCTGCTTCCAAAGCGGGTGTGCCTGCCGCCAACCCCTCTCACACATGCTTCTGTCAGCCCATTCCCTTGGGCACTGGCTTCTAACGTGGACTTGGGAGAGGGGTCTGGCTGCCAGGTCCTGTGTCCCGCTCCGGGTGTCAGGGAGGCCGGGGAGCGAGGAGACGGCATCTCTGCCTCTGGGGTGGGCTGGCCTCAGGCCACTGGGGGAAGCCTCACGCAGAAGGGGGGCTTCTGACGCTGGGGGAGACCAAATGTCGACACAGAGAGTAAGAAGGCAGCTCCACTCCGAAAAGCTAAGCGTCCACACCTCCTTGACACTCTGGATCACGGTGGGTATGATCTAACACGGGTCCATCCTTAGGAATGCACGGCCCTGGGAACCGTGGTCACGGTCCAAGTGTGCCCGGAAGCCCATCTGCAACCAAGTGACTCTCCAAAAGTACAACTCTAGAAACTTCCCAGACAGCTTTTCTAGAGCAAACGGGAGTTGGCTGACATGAAGGGAGGTGCCATGCGGCAGAGCTGTCTGCAGGGTCCCGAGAAAACCGCGTCTGGCTTTTCTACAGACCTACCGAGGTGGCTCGCAACTCCAACGCACACTACAGTACTTTTGCCAATAAACAAAAAATACATTAAAAACGTTTAAATATATACAGATTCCAACTGATAGAAAGATTCCAACCTAGGCAATGATCTAAAGCGGGTCCCAAGGTCTTCTCGGACTATGTCACGGCTCAGTACAGCATGGGGGCCAACGGCTATGTGAGTGATGGAGACCTGGCCCCTTCCCTGCCCCCAGCAGCGCGTGAAGGGCACGCGAAGGGCACGCTGCGCAGCCGCCCCAGCTGCCCCTTTGGTCCTGCCGCTTCTCTATCCTGCTGTGTCCGGCGTCATCAGGACTTTGCTCTAGAGCATTTGCTAGAGGTGTCGTTCAGACAGCATGCAAGTCAGGCCGGGAGCTCCGTTACAACTACTTTATTTTATTAACTTTTCTAAAGACCTGGATCTGACCTTTACATTACAGTAGCCAGCCTCCGAAAAACCAAGGGCAGCTAAGAGTCTGGAGAAGCTGCTCCGTGTCCGGTCTGGAAGGAATTCTCCCCCTGTTCCCAGTCATGCTCATGGATCCTCTCTCATCAGAGAGATTCCTCGGGAAGAAACCCTAACAGGGTGATGACAAGATCTGGGGGAGGACACAGTTCTAAAGAACGAGAAATGCAGAGCCTGAGCACACGGTGTCTGGGCGCCTGTCCCATCCCTCTCACAGGGCTCCCTGGGGTTTGGGAACAGAGTCAATCTCACTTTCGTTGCGAGACACACTTGCGACATGGATTTCGACTGTGCTGGCATCAGAACCTGGGGAGGAAAAGAGAAAAGACTGTGACGGCGTCGATGTCCCTGAGGGCCTCTCAAGGGCCACCAATGCACCATTCCGTGGCCACCTTCAGCCCCTGCACCCCTTCTTCCAGGCCTCCGCACCGGTGGCTACGCGGGCGTCTCGGCCGAACCACAGGGATGCTGTAGATCAAATGGAAACTGGCTGTGGACACAGGGAGGCTGTGGAGCCCTGTGCTGTCACGGGTGGGGAGCAAGGGAGCAAGGGATCATGGGGCCCTGTGTGACGGCTGTGGGGCAGCGGCCACAGGGGGCGCTACCTTCGGCAACAGGACCCCACGGTCGCCTGGTCACCTGCACTCAAGTCCAGGAGGGGTCCCAATGCCGGGGGGGGGGGGGACCACGAACCCCTGTCAAATGAAAACACCTCTGAATTGTCTTTTCGTGGCTAATGCCACGTGCTTTTTGGCGGGGGGCGGGGGGAGTGGGTGCCAATCAGCGAAATTACTCCCGCCAAAAGCGTAATCCTGAAGGTCTGTTGAACCGTTGCCAGTAACACACCTTCCTTCAGGACCTGAGTGGATCCTTTGGAACAGATGTCACAATTGTTCTTTCATTCCACAAGTATCCAGCCATGCCTGCTGTGCACCAGGCTCTAGGTTGTACGTGCGGAACACTCAGACGGGAGACACGAAGAAGGGCGGCCTTTTCACCTGTACATGGGGCAAGGGACTGCCCTTCGTGAGTATCTCTAAATCTCAAACGCCATCCACCAGTGGGCCCTGCTGGTCATTGGAGTCTCCACTCACGTCACACTGTTCACTCACAACGCTCAGGCACACGGGCCTCTCTCACACTCCCAGCCCAGTTCTACCACAGGGCCTTTGCACATCACTTCTGCCTGTAAAGTTCTTCGAGATTCTCTCACGGCTCCCTTCTACACTTCATTCAGATCTCAATTCAAATGGCAGTGGTTGTTCAGCGGCAGGATTCTCGGCTTCCAGATCTCAACTCAAGTGTTCCCTCATTCTCAGGGAGAAATCCAGGACACCCTATCTAAAGCTCCTGCCCTTAACGGGTTTGTTTTTCTTCACACACCTCTCGCTCCCTGGAAATGCTGTGCAATCATTTGTATTTGTCACTCTCTGTCTTTGCCGCTGCAGTGGACAGTCCCACTGGACGAGAAATTTGTCTACTGCAGTCACCACAGTGTCCGCAGCGGCCCAGGTAGCAGCCGGCACACAGAAGGCGACACCTGGCGCGTGGATGCGTGCGGCAAGGGCCCTGACACCCGCTGGGTGCAGCTGTGGCACGGCACTGACTGAGGCTGAGGAGCAGAAAGCAAGGCAGGGACGCGCACGACCGAAAGAGGGACGCACGCGGAGCTGCGGGCAACGCGTAAGCAGAGAGAACGCTAGTGTTGTGTGGAGGAGAGGGGAGAGCAGCAGCAGGGTCTGGGAAAGCCTGAGTTACAGGAAAGGGTGACGCTCTGACCAGGAAGAGCCGAGTACGGCACCGCAGGGACCCCCACCCGCACCCCGACACACACACACACACCCCCCCCCCAGCAGTCAGAGCTTCCTCCCGGGGCTGGATCAGGGAAAGGCTGGCAGAGCGCGGGTCTGAGCACGTCAGGCTCCGTGTCCTGAGCACTACAAGCACGGGGCAATGTAGAAGGCGGGCGGAAGGCCTGATTATGGTCACGGAACCTAGAGCCGGATCCTGAGAACTGGGGTCACCAACGAGAATGGTGGGAGAAGAGCCGCAGCTGGAGCGGGTAGCCTGCTCTTCCAGGAGACCAGGCACCAGCTGCGAAGGCTTCTAGAAGACACGTCCAAGACTGCACTGCTGCTGCAGGAGCTGGTGGCACTTCAAAAAGATTCGATTTTCACAGGGTCACCCCCCGTTTATGAGGACATCCTGAGCTCATGGGAACTTGTGTGTGACTTCTGTGGTCTTTTCAAAGACTCGGGGGGGGCTATCACATGGTGGCTTGTGATCAAGGTCTGGGCTGAGGACACTCCCCCGTGACCTCACACTTTAGGGCATGCTCTGGGATCCTGTGGCTTTTTAAGAGTTCCCTGTTCTTTCATCCTTCCCCTGGGGCTCCATGGAGAAAATGCATTTGTACCCTAACAGCTTTCTCAGATGCCAGTGTGGCTGGAGCCAAGCCACCTGAGCCCAGCCCAGCCTGCACTGACGTCCCGGGGGGCCTGTGGTTGAGGGCCTGCCGGCAGGCCTGCATTCCCAGGGGTTTTCTCTTCTGGTCTTAAAGGTCTCCATAGAAAGAGGGAATGTGCTGGCTGAGCAAGTCTCTGACATGATAATCCAATGAGGCCATTGGGGGATTTGTACTAATTCTCTGTTGGTCCAAAGTATGAATACCTGACGAGTGTCCCTGCAGGATATGCAGATGCCAGCAAGCTCATGATGCCTAAGGGCCAGCCCCCTTCCTAGTCCCTCTCTTTGACGAGCCCTGCCAGCCCAGGCAGGTTCTTGGAAACTTCCTGGCCCCACACAGACCCAAGATATAGGAAAGCACACTGGGTGTCTCTTGCACCCTCACCTGTCGCTCCTGGATTCCTTCAAAGCCTCGAAGCCCTCGCTCAGAAAGCCCAGTCCGTGGGCACCCATGAGCCGTGGAGGACACGGACACCTGGGCCTGGATCACCTGCAAGGTGTTGACTTTGATCTAGGGAGGGCACGAGAGTGAGAGGCCTGGGGGGTGTTCTCTACCCCACTTCCCCAGCCGCTGCCATCCACGGGGCCAGCCGGTGTTACAGTCGGACGGGCAAGTGACAACAGGGAATGAAGGCTAAGATAAGGGCCTGCGGTAGTGACAGGCAACTGTGGACAAGTGTGGAGGACATGAGGGAGTACAGGAGAGAACAGAACTGTGGGAGAGAATGGGAATTCGGGAGAGAATGAGGAACTGGAGGAGAGAAATGGAATGGGGCGAGGCAGAGTTGTGAGGGGGCATGAAAAACCAAGGGAGAGAATTGTGGCAAAAACGGAGGACCGTGGGGA